GACTAGTCTTGTTGCGCCTATCTATTGGTCTCGTGCCAGCCGCTGAAAACCCTCAAGGTTTCGCGTTTAGGCTTTCGTGCTTTCTCCGCCACTGGGTCGGCGGACTGAGCCGGAGGCTCTTAAGTTATAGTATAGTAGTTTCCATTTTCTTTTCCATTATCCCAATATAACCCCTGTATAACCAATGTTCAAACAATCACTGTTGTGAACACCATGCCTCGGTGGTGGCCAGCTGCACATTCAAGCCGGATACCATGGAACACTGGCCAAGCTATGTCAGTCATCTCAACTTGGGACTGCTTGCAAGGGCTGCGGATGCATACTTCAAAGCAGCATTGATGGATGAAATTCTCAACCAACTGAAGAACCACAACTGACCTCTGCTCCCTTTTTGTAGTAATCGATTGTTGTCAGTAGGTCATGTCTTTGGACCCTGACAAGACAAGGGCTCAAGCACCCCTTGTTCTCAGTAACTGCGGCCAAACAGAGCCCACCTGGCAACGAGCATCACCAATAGCAGGCATGCTTCTCATTGTAAGTCAAATGTTTCTTTCCCATCTTTTCTGAAAGGTCATAGTGTCGACCAGGCTTGCAAAGTGGGATACCTTAGGAGGAGCCCCCACCCTGTAATAGTGGCATAATAGGACTGCAAGAGGACCCTGATACAATCCCCATTATAGTCACCATTACTGGGTGGGGGTCCACCTAGCCCTATATAGCCCCTACTCCACCTAAACTGTAGCCACCCTACGGGATACCCTAAACCCCAAACTCTTAACCCTAAACTCTAAGCCCCAAACCCTGTAGCGATAAAGTCCCCCTTAAGTAGATAGAATATAGGGTATATGGGGATCTTATTGTATTATAATCTACCCAAAGCCAAATTCTATCTACTTAAGGGGGGCTATACCCCGCAAACCGCTGCACTGGCCTTTTGGCGGGCTCGCCAGTCACGAAGCACTTCGTTCCTGGAGGCATCGGACCTTGCGTCAACCTGCAAAAGCACTACCATGTGGGTTGTTCTCAAGATTATGAGCCGCTATTGGTTTTCGACTATATTTACGGCACCTGATATTGAGGGGTGCCAAAATGGGACCCTGATTTCGGGAACTACCCATGTTCTTTGTGCCTCGAGGCACCATAGAGGAGAGCTTCAGCTCAGTACCAACTTGACAACCCTGTTCTGTGTACACACTCCTTCTGTGCAGAAACCAAAACTTGTATTGTCGCCCCGCTGCGCCGGGAACCGGGCGGAATACAGAGGCTCTTCATGGCACCGGTCTGTCAAGCAAAGCGTGGGAGCTGGAGTACTAGAGAAAACAAAACAACCTGAAAGGGACAAGCATCTACAACATCAGCAAAACTGGAGCAGCGCACCAGTATCGAAGCATTCTCACCAGCGGCCTCGGCAGCACAACTCTCGGAGGTCCCACACGAAAGAATGATTCCTCTTCCTTCGCAACTGGCTACCTTTCCACTTCCCCTCAACATTACTGCGCCAGAATGCTACATACTGTACACCCTTACACAAGTACAAGCCTCAAGCCCTCCGGATGTAGTAGCTTCCCAAATAAGGGACATCAATATAGACCCCAAAATACTATATAATCCTTCTTATAGGAACCCCCAAAAAGTACCCTAATTTAGGAAACCCCCATATTGAGCGTGATCCAACAAGTGGGGCTGGCGCAGCAGCTTCAGGAGCGACCTGCTGCGATTGCAAGCAAAATAATTGTGGCAATTGTAGCAATGATGACTGTAGTAATCATAGTACTACGAAGAATACTAGTAGTAGTAATATAAATATCAATAACAATAATATGAATAGTAGTAGTAGTAGTAGTAGTAGTAGTAGTAGCGTAGCAGTAGTAGTAGCAGCAGGAGTAGTAGTAGTAGGAGGACGAGGAGGAGGAGGAGTAGTAGTAGTAGTAGTTAAGTAGTAAGTAGTAAGCAGCAGCAGCAGCAGCAGGAGGAGGAGGAGTAGTAGTAGTAGGAGTAGTAGTAGTAGGAGTAGTAGTAGTAGTAGTAGTGGTGGTGGTGGTGGTGGTGGTGGTGGTGGTGGTGGTGGTGGTGGTAGTAATAATAGCAGCAACAGTAGTATGATCTGACTCGCAACGCTTCCATTACCGGGACCAGGAGCACCGCCACTACCACCATCACCAGCAACAACCCGTGCTGACACGCATCAATTTCGTCATTGGCTTCAGTCATAACATAACGTCAGTTGCGGGTGCTTTACCACCTTTGACAGTGTTCTGGCTTTCATGCGAGTTATCCTCATGTTCTGGCTTTCGCTACAGTAGAAGCTACAGCAAATTGATTTCCCGGAATGTCGGCACCGCCTCTTTGGTGCGACTTTTTATCTCTGCTTCTGACCTGCATGGCTCTCGAAAGAATGCCACAAAACCGCAGAAGGGTCTGATTCCTGAGGTGAACACGCCGCGGACTCACACCAAGGAGCCAGGATCAGCTTCTTCTGCTGCAGCGTTGGCATCACCTAGGTTGACATGCACTACAGATTCTGCAATTCCACATCCTGCCACAGCCAACCTCGTCCCACCGCGTCACTGTGGCAATGCCTTCGTCCCTTTGCGTAGTTGCCTCTCAGGAAAGGGCATGAACGGGACCTCGCACAATCTGCAACTGACCGCCATCTCACCATCTCACCTTCTCAAGCATGGCCGCATGGATGTAATCCAATTCTGCAGGAATCAAAGTTGCCAGCTGCGATTGGTCCACATCCTCCAGATGCGCAACACGCCTTCAGCTTTGCCGGGCTGCTGTTGAAGAACTTGAATTGAGGTACCAGAATATGGGTACATATTCAAAAGAGGGATTCGTCATTGTAGCAAGCCTAAACCCTCAACCCCACATACCCTTATTATAGTAAGTGAGCTAAAGTTCCTTAACACAAGCCCAGCTGTGCCACATCAATCATGCAAAAGCCTGACCCTAAACCCTGAACCCTCAACACTGAAACCGTGAACCCTTAACCATGAACCCTGAAGTTTAAACCCTAAACCCTAGACCCCTAAACCCTAGACCCCTAAACCCTAAACTCCTAAACCCTACACCCCTAATCCCAATACGATTCATCCTGCTTGGAACCATCGAAGCGGCGAACGAGGCGACAAGTTCCTTGGGCCATGTCTTTGGGCCCGACCTGTCAGGGTTTAGGGTCCAGGATTCAGAGTTCAGGGTTCAGGGTTTAGGGGTTTAGGGTTTAGGGCTTAGGGTTCAGGGTTTAGGTTTGATTCAGAGTTCAGGGTTTAGGGTTTAGGGGTTTAGGGGTTTAGGGTTTAGGGCTTAGGGTTCAGGGTTTAGGGTTGATTCAGAGTTCAGGGTTTAGGGTTCAGGTTTTTGTTGCCACCCCTTTTTCCGCCGTACAGGAGTACGGAAAGAAAACACGGACCTCGAGGTCCGTTGCATACGGCCGCAGGCAGGCAATCAGCCAAAGCCCAAAAGACCATAAAGGCAACCCATCTTGACACTCCCTCAGCGCAGATGTTGAAGCCAGCAGCCGATTCAAATCGCCACCAGCTCCACCACTCCGAGGCAAGTCATCGCTACCCTCAGCAGCAGGTACTCCAACCAGCAGCGTGGACATCTGCGAGGAGTCGATGTGCTGTGTCATCCCTTCCGGTCGCCCATCAGCTCCTTCATGATCTTCTCCTGGTGCCCCTCCGACCGCCTCCTGACCATGATCAAGGCCACCATCACCACACCTACCACTGGTGGCTAGTGGGACTTCCCACTATACCGCAGACATTTGTGAGGAGGACTCTGCATCCCTTGCAATCCCGGGTTCAGGGTTTAGAGTTTAGGGTCTAGGGTTCAGGGCTAAGGGTTCAGGGTTTAAAGTTCAGGGTCTAAAGTTCAAAGTGTAGGGCTCAGCCTGGCAAGCAGTTGGGGTCTCCAACAAGCAGGGGTCCTCCCTGTTATAAGGACTACGGTAATCCACTCACCTAATATTAAACCCCCCATCCACACAATGTTAAATATGCCCAATATACTATAATATACCACAATGGGGAACATTTAATGTTAGGGGGGTGCGTTCAATATTAGGGGGAGTGGATTATTTGGGGTCTCCCTGTTTATGGAAACTGCCCTATGAGTCTGGGATCTACCAGGCTACAGGCTACTCTGGGTTGCTCTTTTGGAACTTAGATTAAGTTACTATAACAAGGAAACCCTATTTTTTACTATATACTCATATGAGCCATAGTCTAAACTCCTAGTATCCCCTTAATAACCCCTTTACTACTCCCCTATATAACCTCCTATATAGCCCCCTTTTAAAGAGTTTAGGCTACAGCTCCTACTATGGTAACTTAAAAGTGAATTTCGTAACAGCAACCCTAAACCCAAAACCCTAAATCCTAAACCCAGTACTTTGCAAGGCGCCTCCAGCCTAATGGGCACTCCCTTCATCTCCCACCTCAGCGCTAGGATGCTGCGAAAGCAGCTCCTACTGGTGCTTAAGGTCTAGGGTTTAGAGGTTTAGGGATTTAGCGGTTAGGGTCTAGGGATTTTGGGGTTTGGGTTTAGGGTTTAGGGTATGGGTTTAGGGCTTTAGAGTTTTAAGGTTGAGGGGTTTAGGGTGGGGGAGTGAATATAGGTACCAATTATAGGGGCATATATATGGGGGTTATATAGGGAGTATAGGAGGTTCAGGACCAGTAGAACCAAAATATATCTGCAGCCATAATCCAATAGAAACCCCTCAGGTCCCCTAACACGCTCAGAATTGAGCGGTAATTTCCCTAAACCTCACGGCCAAAGGCTAAGGCACTGACCAATTAAACTTCCAGCCAGGCGAATAGGTCTGGCGTGCGTCCACCTTCAAGCGCAGCATGCGACGTTCCAAGCTTGCTGGTGGTCAATCGGGACTTGAGAAATGGATGCTCTTGGTAGTTTTTAGGAATCCTCGAAAAGCTGTCTTTTTCTTTGTCATTCCAACATTCCCTACTCAAAACCCTAAAGCCCAGGGCCTAAACCGCAAATCATAAATCATCTAGTAAGTAACTAGTAGTAATTAATATCCATGTTCTTCTCCATACCCTCATTCCCAAATATTCCCAGCTAACTACCAGTAAGCATATGCAACACCTTTGTTGCGTGCCACAATAAGTCCAAAAATAACAGCAATACTACCAGTAATAGTGGCACAAACAATCACAATGATAACAATAATCATTTTATCTTCAAGAATACTAGCAAGAATCAGAATGCGATTAACAACAACAATCATAATCGTGATAAGAATGATCATAATACTGCAAAGTGTGAGAGTAAACAGGAATCTCCCTTAATCCTGAACGCTAGACGCCGAGGCCTAAACCCTGAATCCTGCTAAAAACTAAACCTTAAAAGCGCGTGGCCTCGCAGCGGATGCCTCGATCTTTCAAAGCAGTCGCCAGCTCGGCACATCGAGCTTCAACACCTACCAGTCAGACAGGTTACATATGTTATAGTATACTATGGTCTAAACTGCTTAAAGGTCGTTATTTTGGGGATAGTATAGGGGTCTGTTACAGGGGCTATTAAGGGGGATACTAGGAGTTTAGACTGTAGCTCATACAGGGTTCAGGGTGAGATATTGGGTTTATTGTTTAGGGATTCCAAAAAATGAGGGGGTCCTGTTTTGGGGTTGCCAAAAGTAAGAATTATAGCATCTAGGGATATCTGTTAACTTCCGTTCATTTGTGGACACTGCCATATAAGGACTATGTTAAGAATATGTAAGGCTTTTTTCTTTGGTTATCCTTTCTGATCTTTTTGGATACCCTACATGTCAGGGGCCGTATGATAGTGGGACCCAAAAGAATTCTTTCTTGACCACCCACCATATAGGGATATTGTAGGATTTTACAAGGTCTATGTAAGGGTTGCGCGAGGTTACTGTACACACGGTTTACAAAACCACCGGCTAATTGTGCCCACGAGATACCGCGAGGCAAAATGGCAGCATTACTACGTCCCCCTGCATTACTCTGCCACTATTGCTGGGTGTTGGTGGGGCCTAAACTAAGCACCTAACACACAGCCTATAACCTTAAGTAACAATAGTCATTGCATTATACTTTTGATATGAGTCCTTATATGTAACTGCTATAGGAGACCTATAGGAGACAAACACTATGCACCTGAAGACATTGAACCGACAGATCGCATCCGATTTTACTCGCATGGTCTTCGCTAGACCCAGCCGCACATTGACATATCGTGAGCACCAGCGAGATTTCATCTCCACCTCTCCATTTTGCAAACATCACTCTTCACAGTTATCGTGTTGGGAACCCCATCCCTTCGGCTTCACGTCGGGGAGCTTGATTGATGAAAACAAGGTGTCACAGCTGCTCTGCAGCTAACAACGGGTTGCTGCCGAGCTGCGTGCTTCAGCAAGGAGCTCAGCCAGAAACCTGAGTACATCGACCAGCGAGGAGCTAGGCTGTCTGGGTGGGTGTGGAGGCTCTTGCTCATCAAGGAAGCTGCGCCAACGCCTTTCGCGGATTTAACTCCGTGACAGCACTAACTCTGCCCCACCCCAATAGCGAGCTCTTTGGAGTATGCTCACCTTGGTGGAACATCCAAGCGTCCAATCAGTTGATCAATCTTACGGAGGATTTTGTTCGATTTCGCTTGCATCTGCGTTGACCGGCGGTCTTCTTTGGCCATGTGCCGTCTCTCTCGAGCTTCGCATTGGCACATGACTCGCTGACACAAACGCATCCGGCGGTCCTCGCACTCCATTCTGTACTGATTCCAAGCTGTCAACTGGCAAGTGTTGCTCACTGCATGGCCACTTCGCAGTCTGTGCAGTCGAGTTCTCAAGCTTTGCTCGTCCCAGCCTGCGGCTGCCCATGCATCGATGTAAGCTTTTGAAAGCATTTGCCATGCTTGTTCGACGGATGCTGGAGTATGAAGAAAAAAGATTCCGCCCTTCTTTGCTCCAAAACCCGTATACTCAAGTCGGCTCTTCTGTAGCCTCTTTCTCAAAGCGAGCGCCGTCTCGAGTTCAGACCAGGAGTATGTGGGCGAGCGCAATCCACATCCCGTCCAGTGATGCACGGGAATGTGCACACGTAGCCTTAAGCATGCCTGGCTTGCAGAGACATCCTGGTCTTGCAATGCAAAACGCACCTCCTCATCAAGTCTCTCAATCAGGGCAGGATCTTTGGCGACGCGACGTTTAACCGCGGTCAGAGCAATGTGAAGATCAACCGCCTTTGCCAAGTCAGCCGTGCCCCCTGAGAACAGTTCCATGTTGCTGATAACGATCAAGACCTTGTACAACTTGTGGCGGCCTGGTCTCGTGATAATTCCTTTCTGGGGTCTTTGACCTCGATCATCAAAGCTTGAAACATCCAGTTGCTCATCTTCAATCGCCAACAACAGCACATCTTCCTCATCGGCAGAAGATTGAGGACGCCTCCGAGCATTTTCACACTTAGTCTTGGGTGTTTTGGGGTTGTGACCCTAGAAATGTCCAAATGTCAGTTCTGGGGGTTTGAGATTTTTGGGGTTCGAGGGCTCAGGCTTTTAAGCATATCAGCCATAGTCTACATTCCTAGTATCTTCGCTCAATCACCCCTATTGTAGTTCCCTACATAAACCCCTACATAAGCCCTTTTAATGAGGTTAGACTATAAATCCTAAACCCTAAGCCCTAAATACTCCCCGTGGACCCCACCTTTAAAGAGTTTGGACTCTAGCTCGTAATAGAGGTTTTAAGGCAAATGGCATGGGGTTTGAGATTCGATGTTGTGTCTAGGACGACTAAATGTCAACTTTGGGTAATGAGGAAGTCCTGGGTTCAGGGTTTAGGATTCAAGGTTTAGTAGGTTTAGGATTTAGATAGAATGCCAGATTGTTAGCTTGGTTTCGGGTTCGGGGTATAAGGTTTATGGGTGAAGGTTTTTTCAGTTCTAGGGCTGAAGTATGGGGTCTGAATTTGCAGTCTAGGCAGGATTCCAGGCTTTAGCTTTCGTCAGCTGGTTCAGAATTAGCATGTCAAGTCCTCTTTGTCCCACGATTGCTGAATTCAGCATTAGGTCTAGGATGATGGGATTGGGATGACCGGATTTAACTTTGGGTAAAACGTTAGGGATTCTGCAGTTCTTGGGCGTGATGTCGGCTTTACGGCCTAAGGCACCACCTGAGCTGTGGTTGTTATTCTTTATTGATTTTTATGGAACTAACAACCCTTCCGCCCACGAGCTTCTGCGGAGCTTCCGCGAAGACTAGTTTCCTCTCGGTCGGCACTTCAAAACTTCTTGCTTCCACAGACCCTTCCGCAATGATTTCTTGGCAGGTGCTTCCGCAACGCTTCCGCGACGGCGTTTCAAGTCTTACGTAGGGTCG